GGACAACTTTCCTTAAATTCCAGACGGGGGTTCCTCGCGCCCCCTGCCCCCCCCCCCCCCTCGTGCTGATCTGATCAATGGAGTTTTATTTGCTTTCTTCTGGATTACCAGCACGGTGCATAAGCTGCACATGTGATTGTATCTAGAGTTCCCAATTCCTCACTGATACATATGAATGAAGAGTTAATTATGGGTTCATGCAGCCTTTCTCAACCACGGTGCTGTGGTACCCTGGTGTGCTTCCTCAGGGACGCCTCCAAATTTTGTGGTAGTGGGACCGTGATGTAAAGAGGGGAATGAAGACTGAGGTAAAGGGGGGCTCCTGATGTGAAAGCGGAAGCCTACTTATTTGTATGTTTTTGCATGGGGTCCCCCTTAAGATATATAGACCGGGGTGCCTCGAGATTTTGCATACTTTTAAAGGGTGCCGTGAGTGAAAAAATTTTGAGAGACATTGGGTTAATGAGTTGTGGTTGATTTTTGTGTTTCCAACCCCCCCTTGGAGTAGAAGAATGTATTCGCTTTGCAAAGAATATCCAATTGTAAAACCGGGGTGGGCATCTTCCATGCCCCTGCTGCAAAATACGAATCCCATCATGCTTCTGCCTCTGGGAGTCATGCCTATAGCTGTCAGTCTTGCAATGCCTCATGGGACTTGTAGTTCCACAACAGCTGGAATGCTGAGGTTGTCTACCCCTGTTGTGGAAGAATCCAAACCATTTCCTTCTTTGGTGAACGTATAATCCAAGTTTGACAGCAAAGAGGAAAGTGTCATATTGTCTACAGTTCAGATTATATTGATATAATTTTGCTGATATATACAAAGAAGCTGATTCATATAGGACATCACACTCATTAATGGTAGCCAAAGCCAGTTCTGTAATCCTTTCTTTTCTCTCCATCTTTTACCCATAACAAGCTGGCCGGGTACGGGACTAAATGTGCAAGAAAAAAAAAGGAAACCATTTTTGCTCACACCATTGGACGGAAGTCTGCACGGCTTTATCTCATTCATGAAGTGCAAATTAACTTTGGCCAGCTTCCCGACTGGTTTCCTTTAGTAAACTCTTATAGTGGTCCATATGTATGATTTAAAGTGAAACTACACTTTTGTCCCCAAGCAAAAAAAAAGAAGAGGAGAATTGGCCAGCAAGCTCAACATAAAATTACAATCAATGCTTAAAGATTGTATTTGTTCTCAGGTAGTTGTTCCCACCTGTGCTCTATTCACTCTTTCTTAAATATTACATTGATGTTAGAGTCAAAAGTTTTTTAAGCTACTTCAAATGCTGATGAAATCACTTACAATGAATGCTGCTCCTTGATGATTAAAAGTTTTAGCTTCCTGGAGAATCAGCTGGTCCCCTGACCACTGGCCCTGATATCCTGTTTTAGGGTGACTCCTTTCCCTATTATGGTCCTATGGAGCCACCCTTGTGTGTGCGGTAGTAAGCTGTGTGTGTATCTCCACAACCTTACAGGCACATGAAAACAAGCCAGTCCTCTTCTCCCTGTTCCTACCTTTTTTCCCTTCTCTAAGCTAGTAGATGGGCAGTTTGTAGAGATTGCTCTGACCCTTGTGATCTTCTACTGGACATGATGACTGGAAGTGCGTGGGTGGTAATACACAGGAGGGAGGAAATACTTTGCAGGGCAATGTATATTTGATCTGCATTCATTATTGAGAAACGTTTAGTGTAACTCTATTGCAGGGCTGGACCGATTTAATATGGAATTCAGGATTTTTTTTTGGCAGTCAGCTCCATTGACAACAACTGAAGAAAACCTCAAAAGTTAGGAGCCAGATGTAATTTTTAAGGATCATTGGCTATCTGGTTCCTGGGATTTGTCCAGCCCTGCTCTAATGACACTTTTATTTTAAGCTTTTGGCCAATAATTCAGCTTATAGTCTGTTAGATTTTGTAGTTGTTTCAAGCAAAAAAAGAGTAAGTTGCTATAGAGGTATAATCAGACACAATTCCAATGGTGCTTGTAAAGTAAATATATAAACGAATGGCGATAATATACATTCTGTGTCCTGATACTAGTTTTGCATTTTGTTGTTTAGAACTGTCAGGTTTACAAAGCTGTTGGTGTTAGAAGCGACTGCTCCTCATTAAATGTTTTAGTTGTCCTATAGTGCCATCTAGAGTCCATTTAGCAAACTGCAGGCACACAAATATAGCAACGTCAGTATACTGTTCAGCTCAATGTTTATCCTTTCTTGGATGTCCTAGGTATGCTGTGAAACTCGGAAAGTATGCGTGTTTATTAAAGGTTGTTTGTTTGTTTACTATAACAAGTCACACAGCATTTTGTATGACCTATGTTTTCATTTTTGTGTTCAGCTCATCCCTTTTTCATTGCTGGTGCAAGTGCTAGTTAGGGGGTAAACA